GTTTGAGCAATTTGGGGAGCACTCTGGATCTGGATGGCTGTCTGACTGGTTTGAATAGTTTACAGATCTATCTAATGCTGAAGGACCAGCGAAATCTCCTGAATGATCACTATGTTTTCCTATTGCTTCAGTTTCATTTGAAGCCTGATCCTTCCAAATTCCAGTGTCATTACTTTGATCAGTCCACTTAAGCCGTGGAAAAGCAAAATGTACAAACTGACGTGCTTGCACCATCTCTGTGTCAAGAACTGTCTTCAGTGCAGATTCAAGACCATTCTTCTCAAGAAGTTCTGTAATTATTGGAATGTGCCACCACTTTCTCTCTTCAACTTTATCAAAACTCTTGTACTTAATCTGAAATGTTTCATATACTAAGTGAGAGTACACACGCAAAAAAGACCCATAAAATAACTAGATATAATAACAAGTCAAGTGGTATCACTTGTATGGTAGTAGGATTTGCAACCAAATATCAGAACAGAAATTTAAAAATATATAGACTCTGTGGCTGTTACATCAAGAAGGTTTTACCACGGAGATAGCTTGCAAAGACAAAGGCTAAAGAGAAAGATATTGTTGTTTGGTGCATCATTAAAGATTTAGTCACGGGCCTTGATTCAAGGCATCTGCTTTTGAGTTCTTCCTATCCAGACTATTATTGTATTATGTGTGTAAGAAAGTATAGAAACTTTGAGCTTGTTCTTTTCAACTTATTCTTATTACTTATTCATATTGGAATCAAATCAGATCAGAAACAATTTCAAATATAACTTTAATCAGATCACCAAATCAGATCAGACCTTAATAAAATCAGATCGGAAGAGAACAAGCTCTTAATATGCTATAGCAAAATGATGAAAAAGAATTTTACCAAAATTTTCCATATAGATACTCCCTCTTCCCCTAAAATTGTCATTTCAGATGAGAAATCGGAGGCATAGACCTTACCCTTACTTCAAGATACAAAAGCATTTAATAAAAATTAAAAAATACTAGTATATGCGGGCAACTTTGGAAGATTATTTGAAAATTTGCATTGAATGTGGTTGAAGAAATGTGGTACTATACCTCCAATAGGGTAATATAATAGAAATCCTCCATATGCTGCATCAGTGCACTCCCATCTCTAATAGCTCGGAAAAAATTGAACTCCGTGCTCAATATTTTCTCAATAAATTCCTTCTCGCCTTTCATCTGCATACCCATTGTGAGAAAAAGATGAAAAGATTAATATAAATAAAAGGAGCTTCATATGCATGTGTATGTAGGGGCAGTAGACACTATAAATAAAATAAAGTTAAGACAAAAACATGTCCTGATTTGTTGCCCAACATTTTCTTCCCTCAACGATTCCATGAAACAAAATTGAGAAAACAAAAAATGGAAGTGACATTACGTTAAAAAAACTTGCAAACAGGAACCTGAGGAAGCATGCAAAGGTGACTCTTTGGTATTCTTTTCATTAATGTGTATATTATGTAGCTATTGATTTTTCATATATTGACTCTTTCTGTGTCCTCTATTATGGTAAGTTGCTACACTTGTGTGTGTGTGAAGAACAATACAATCACTTATGCCTCAAATATCTATATTGTATCGAGCCTATAACTGCTCACACGAGCAAACCCTACTCCATCCCCCCCTCTCTCTTTTTCTCATCGCACCCTCTGTCCCTTTCAACCATGGCCAATTACGAAAACCAAAGCAACCCCCCTCCCCCACCCCCAAATGTGTGGTTTAATTTTGCCCCTACTCCAACCACAAACTCAAACACATCTTCTCTCCATGTGTCTTTCTTTGCTACTCCATTCAGTATCATTGTTACCAATGTCAAGTTCCTGTCAACAACAAAGTTTACCTCTCCCGGCATGGGAAGCTTGTCCAGGATATTTCTCTCTTAGAGATTAACATCTTTGGGAGAGTTGATGAAAGCATGGAATTAAGATATAGAGATATTCTTTTTGACACTCTCAATCATGGGCGAGAGAGACCAAGTGCGTTTATGAACTTTTGAAAATTGCTCGAACAGAACAATAGTCTCCTAGAAGTTCAAGAGTTAAGTTTTCAAGAATAGGAAAATCTTGCCCAAATCCATTGTATAGGCAGTTTCCATAAAGTAAAGCACAACCAATCTAATAGTTGTTCAGTATCCATACTTGAAAAATGAAAACATATCATAGAATGAATATCCTGAACTGGATGGCAGGCAGGTATGATTGCAGAATAACGTATCAAAATTTGAAAACAATAATAGAAGTTTCAAACATACAAATTCATTGACAATAACATCAGGTGTGGCTTCCCCAATAACATCTACTTGGTAGCTATCTTCTAATGGTTCAACGTTAGCCTGCATTATGTAACAAACAAATCCTTGAAGCCATGAGAAGCTTTCAGAGAAAAAAGATGAACTATATTCAACCATTAGAATATTTTTGTTTTTTGGGAAAGAATTGATAGTGCTAATAGAAGTGATTGTCCGTGTCAGGGTGCATGGTCGAAGGGAATATCATTACCTTTCCTTATTAATAAGTCCCTCCACCATTCGACTCCCGTGTTTGGGGTAATGGAAGTTTCTTCCACAAATGTTAATTCATAGATGATGAAGAAAATACTCCTATCCAGCATCTAAGGTATTGTACATTGCTTATTTTGGTATTATTAGTACTTGATTCCTCTTTCATTCAGATTAAGAGAAATATAAAACTCGGATTTATCTTCAATTCTGGTTTTATATATGGCTGCCATGAGTTGCTCATTATTGTTCGAAGTGGATATCAAGAATGCCAGTTTAAATTATGTCATTCTTTTTATGGTTTGGAACGATCTTCAATTCATGTACTTGCTACTAGCTATGTAACAAGGTTAGTGCATATGACTTGTATGATCTGGCTCAAAGGGGTGTGTAGGAAGTAAGTGTGGAATAAAGTTGTGAATAAAGTAGGAACATTTCTGGAAAGTACCAATTCCAGAACTTTAGAATAGGGGACTATAGAACAAAAAGATGAAAAGGTTTCTCCAAGATAAACAGTTTTAAATTATACTAAAGCATCATACTCTAAAGTTATTTTCTTAAAAGGTTAAGTCACTAGTTAACTAATAGTGATGATGATGATGATGACAAAGAGAAAATGAAGCAATAACATACAATTGCCCCTGATGTACAGTTGACTGTAATATCTCCACCATTGATTTCAACAACCTCTCCATCTATCCAAGCTACCTCTGGATCCTCAACCCAAACATGTGTTCCAACAACTACACTGGAAACACTCTGCAAGAAATGGTTAAAATTACTAGCATGAAAATCCAAACAGAAAAATAGGTGTTGAAAATTACACTATACACTAACCACACCAATCATATTTGTTTTTAAAAAATGTATAAAGATACACCTATCCACGCAATAAAACTATGAATCACGGAGGAAGGAGAATAAGAAGAAGAAGAAGAANAACCCAAACATGTGTTCCAACAACTACACTGGAAACACTCTGCAAGAAATGGTTAAAATTACTAGCATGAAAATCCAAACAGAAAAATAGGTGTTGAAAATTACACTATACACTAACCACACCAATCATATTTGTTTTTAAAAAATGTATAAAGATACACCTATCCACGCAATAAAACTATGAATCACGGAGGAAGGAGAATAAGAAGAAGAAGAAGAATGGAACATCTAAGTAATGATTTATGAAAATTTCATGGAACATCTAAGTCATGATGAAAGAGATGACCTGCTGAACATCCTTCCAAAAAAAGTTTTTGGTTGGGGGGGTTTGCTTGGGGTGGAAACTGTATTAGCTCGTAGTGTATGTTGTAGCAGAAATAGTAATACAGATGTGTTTGATAGCCAATAAGCCATGCACTTGTTGTTTGACTCATCCTATGAGAGAAACAGTAAATTAAATAGAAGAATTCAAGTTGGAAACATGCATGGGTTCTAATTAACCATAAAAAGTTATGTTCTTGGGAATGGGATCAATGCAGCTGTTTGGACGTTGGAGTTACTATAGCGGATGAGTGGGCTGTTGCAGAGGCATCCGGTTCTTAGCTGACAAATCTGGAAGAGTTATTCTCAGACTTCCGGGTGAGAAATAGATCCGCGCTAGTCTTCCGATTTGGATGACTTAGCCTTCAGCGGGTTGTAGCGAGACATCCGGTTATCATGTAGTATTCCGGACTAGAGGATCTTCATCTGCTTTGAGAAATCCTTACTTGTCTCTGACATTTCCGATCAAGATATCCAATTTCCATATCACTAAATTTGATTAAGTCTTCAAGCATCAAACCACTTAAAGAAATATCACAACTTTATTGGAAATCTCAAGAACTCGGTTTTAACAATATTTCTAAAAAGAAAAATTACATTGAATATTGGGGGAGGCCTAAAGTCCCTATTACAATCTAAATACATCATCATCAAAATCGATAATATTTTTCCCAACAAGTGTAATTCCACCCTCGCTCCAATCGCCAACACACTCCCCAAGGAAAAACTCAGCGAATGTAATTTCAAGCTCGTTCGTCATGCAGCGAAGATCTGGCTTTCTACTCCTAGAGACTATCCTTACAAAACTTTTTCCCCGGCTCAATTCCTGTATTATTATTTCAAGCTGCTTCTCGTTACCGATGATAAGCTTGCGGGGGATAATAGGAAATAATATAGATTATTAATTACATTCCTTATATATTGGCTTATTCTCTACTTTCCTTATTGTATTCTTACTATAATTCTTTTTCCTAATATGATTAGAACTATCTCTTGTAATCCCCATATATAGAGATTTATCCATCATTATTCAAAAAGACCAATTCTTATTCAATTGTATCATGCTCAAATAAGTAATTATATTATTGAAGGATTCTCATATAAAGAGAACCATGAATGTATTATTTTAAAATTTTTAGGATAGTATATAAAGAAAATATCTTTTTATAAAATAAGTATACTAATCACTCAAAATAAAAATAAAACATGACTTTTATGTTTAAAATAAAGTAACAAATTTTACTTTTATATTTTATAGTTTCTCTCTTATACTACTCCCTCCGTCCCAAATTATTTGCAACGTTTGCTTTTTTAACAGTTGCGGGAACTTTTGTTTATTTTTACGTTTTCATTGTTTATTTGATAAAATAAAATATATTCTTGACACCTCTTATTTCGAAGAACTTTTCATGTAGTTTTTTGATATGTAAATTTTATTTTTTATTTTTATACCAATATTTAAATAAAATGAATTGAAAAAACTTAATATTTTGCCTCGGGAATACAAGTGTGGCAAATATTTAGGGAGAAAGACCAAAGTAGGATTAAAACATTGAAAATATACTAAAATAGGACTTCCATGTTTTTATTCCCGAAATAGGATTTACATTACCAAACATGGTCATATACATTACCAAAAAAGTATAGTAATGTGCACATGTACACTGCCACATTACCATAATGCAAAGTCACATTACCACAGTGCAAAGTCCTATTTCGGGAAAAAAAACATGAAAGTCCTATTTTGGTACTTTTCACTATGTTTTAGTCCTATTTAAGGTGATTTCTAAAATATTTAGGGACGGAGGGAGTATTAAATAGGGAGTAGTTTATAAAAGAAATATTTCCTTTTAGAAAAAGAGTGATTACCCGGGTGCTTCTCCATTTCCCACTCTCATTGTCTTATTCCTGTCTAAACTCCCGCGGCACCCCAAACCCTCATTACTCCCATCCATACACGTGCCATCATATTCATATCCCTCCAATTAAATTAAATACCAGTGACGGAGCCATATATATCGACCTCGATCGATCCGAAAAGCATACACAGCTTATAACGTCAACGATGATGCCCCGCGGCGGCGTCTGGTGGTTCGCGATATGGACCTGCAGCTGTCTCGCCTTCGCCGGCACCTCCGTCGTCAACGGTGGTGGTGTTGGCGTAAATTGGGGAACTCAAGCCGCCCAGGTCTTGAAACCTTCCATCATCGTCCAGATGCTCAAGGACAACCATATTGAAAAGATTAAGCTCTTCGACTCCGACCACTGGACTATACATTTCTTCGCCGGCACTGGCATAGAGGTTATGCCGGGAATCCCCAACAACCAGCTCCAACTCTTCGCTGATGATTTTGATCATGCCAAGGACTGGGTCAAGGAAAATATTAGCTCCCATTTATACGACGGAGGCGTTAAGATCAAGTAAGCTTAGTCATTAATTATCTTCAGTAATTTATTAATCAATTTTTTAGTCTAGACCCCATGCTTGCTTGCACGCGGGTAATGCTGTTAGATGCTACTACACGCTACTTCGGGATAGCAATAAAAACGAACCGACCCTATATAACTAATTTCTCAACCTTCAAATATCTAAGTCCGACCAGAAGACAAATTGAAAATCGAATTATATATGGGGAATTACATTGAGGCCCCGTTTGGTACATGGAATTCAAACTATGGAATTGGAATTGAGGGCTTCAATTCCATTTCTGGTGTTTGGTAGCACAAAAATTATGTGGATTTGGAATTGATAGTGCAAAAAATGAGTTGAAATTGGCAGAATTCAATTCCATGGAATTGAATCCCATGGAATCTCAATTCCAACTCAATTCTAATTCCGTCAATTCCGTATACCAAACGAACCCTGAGAGGATGTTTGGAAGAGTGATGCTTATGAAGTTCGGTTTTTGCTTGGATGGTTTTTCTTAACTCTGTTTGGCTGGTCAATTTTTATTTTTTCTAGCTATTATTTGACATATAGAACACCATTTTATATAAGAAGATATAACATGTTTTTGCTTTAATTTTAGTGAAAATCATGTTATCCATACCTTAATCATTCTCAAACATCCACTTTACATATTGACTGTCAGAGCAATAGCCTCAACCTGACAAGTCATGAAAATAAAGAATTGTTTGGTGGTGGAAAAGTATATTTTTACACCAAAATTAGTTTTCAAGTGAAAAAAATTTACAAGGAACAATATTTTCACTTATATTTTTCATTGTTTATTAGGAAAGAATATTGTACTCCAGAATAATTACAACTATTGCAATGGATAACAAAATGAAGATAAAAAAAATTACAGAGTAATTGTTCAAATACATGTCCAAACTCTAAACATAAAAGTTATCAATATTTAAAAAAAAAGAAATAAAAAAATAAATTTTTAAAATTAGACAATAAATAATTTTATATATATATATATATATATATATATATATATATATATATATATATATATATATATATATATATATATATATATATGTAGATTTTGGTTCTGGTGAGAATGCAATCTTAGGAGAGAAATGAGAATGAATCTGGTGCTTTAGATTGTGAGATCTAAGGGTCAAGATTTCATCAAAATTAGATGCACCAAAATGGTGCGAAAATGCATCACGTCAAAATGCACCATAAACCTTCAAAAATGCACTATCTCAAAATCTGAGCGCAGGATGCAATCTGAGCCGCAGAATGCATCAGATCCGACGACTAGATTTTATTCTCATTTCTCTCCACAAGATGCATTCTCACAGGAACCTCCCCTATATATATATATATATATATATATATATATATATATATATATATATATATATATATATATATATATAAACACACACACACACACAAATAAGTATAAACTAAATGAATAAATTAAAAATTTAACAATTTACGACTAAATGAATAAATATGTAAAAAATAAAAAGAAATAAATGAATAAAGACTAAATTAAATAAAATGAATAAAGGTAAATATAAATAAAATTTAAAATAAGTAACAAAATATTTTTATTTTTTATTTATATGTAACTATTTACTTATTATTTATAATAAAAATAAATAAAAAAATAATTCCTCCATCCCAAATTGGTTTTCAATTTTTAAGACCTACATCTTGATAAATTTTGTTAGTTTATTTTCATTGGTTATTTTACCAAATGACTAACGAGAAGATGCAAAGAAAGTGAATGAAATCTGACCCTCTTAATAGTAAACACATAACATAATTTGGGACATATAAAGTAAATTTTATTAATTATTCTTATTCTCCATTCGTCCCTTATACTCTTTCTCCTTCTTTTTTTCCTTGTTCCACAAACTTCTTCTTCTTTCTATTAAAAAATCAATTTTACTCTTACTAATTCTTACTCTACCTATCACACAATACTTTTTTTTTATAAATAATCTATCCATCACATCGTATTTTTACTCATCACATCAATGATATTTTTGGAAAATCAACATAAAAATATCTTTCTTAAACTCTTTAAAAATCATTTAGGGAAGAACTTTAAGGAATGACGGGAATGCCAATTTTTAAATAAACTAATTGTGGGGTTTTGGCTTGTAAACGGAATAGTGTAATCCAATTTAGAATTAGGGGAGCAAAAAATAAAACTCACTCCGTCTCAAAAAGATTCTCACAATTTGACTTTTTTAGTCAAACTGTAACACCATGTGATGTAAATTATAAAAAAAATATATTTAGTTATAATGTAGATTTAGTAAAATATGGTTTATTTTAAAATATAGTTTTGAAATATTAAATTTTCATAATTGTTAATTATTTTAAACTATATTTAATTTGTGGTAAAAAAAAAGTCACAATTTAACTAATAGAGTTAAATTGTAGCAATGTTTTAGGGACGCAGAGAATAGTTCTGTGTCCAACTATATACATTTATGAATTGGGCAATGCTAGGGGTACCCCAAAATGAGATATCTCATTTATACACCAAGCAAAAAAGGCACACATACACGCATTCAACATTTGCACATGCACAAATATAGAGTTTTTGTGTATGTTTGTTTTTGCTTGATGTACAAATGGGTTAAACCTAGCTTTATTGTTAGAGAAATTTATCTAAATAAGACTAAAACATAATGACTTTCCCAATATAGGACCATATGTTTTTATTTTCCAATGTAGGACTTTTGGTCATTAACAAGTAGTCATTATTCAAGTAAATGTTCATGGACATTATTTTCCCACTAGGTCATTATTAAGTCAATAAAAAAGTTTAAGTCCTACATTGGGAAAGTCATTATGTTTTAGTCTTATTTAGTGCAAATTTTGGCAATTGATATCTACACTCCACATTTTACTAGTTGCACTCCACTTTTTTTATTTCTTAAAAGATTGACAATTTTGCCCTTTCAATTACAAATACCTCATTTTCATCATCCCTTTACATCATTAATATTTATATTAACTATTTAAAAAGATTTATAATTTTGAGGATTAAATTATACTAATTAATACTTATTTTTTAGGGAAATACTTATTTAACAAATTTTATAATATTGTTATAATTTTTGTTTGTGTATTTAGAAACACACCAAATAGTTATTTTAATTAGTACATTGTATCATAAAGTCTTAAAATAAAATAAAATATACAATAATTAATTGAAAATTTAAAAAAAACGCAATTCTATCAAAGAATTATTATCATATTTTTCTTCCACACTTTTGAAAATTGGCATGGAGTAAAAAATTAGTACATTTCTAAAAATTTATCAAATGTTCTACGAAACCAGAGGTGATATTACAGAATATTATACTTCCTCCGTCCCAAAAAGATTTACACGTTTTGACTAAAGTTAAAATTAAGAGAGGGATAATTTTGTGTTGACTTTCCAAAAATACCCTTGATGTGATGGGTAAAAGTAAGATGTGATGTGTAGATTATTAGGATTAAGGTATGATGTGATAGGTAGGGTTTGAAAAAGTAAGGGGTAAAAGTGGTTTTTAATAGAAATGGGTAGGAGATTGTGGGACGCAATTTTTTTGAAAGGTGTAAATCTTTTTGGGACGGAGAGAATATTATTTTATCAAATAAGTAACGAGAACAAGAAAAGGAGTAATTAAGATTTCAAGGGATGGAGTATCATGTTATCTAACTAAAGTGGTCATTCAAAACTAAAAACATTATACGGAGTATATTTAAAAATATTAACAAATTTTTTTAGCACATCAAGACATGATTGACGATTTTATTTTATCAAAAAATCATGAAAGTAATTGCTTTGACAAATTTATTTTAGGCAAATTATGCTACATTTGCTTAATGTTGAGATGAACATGCTTATTATAATTTTTTTAGAAAAAGACACAGAGCTATTTTTATATGAACTTAGGTCCAATAAATAAGCACTCTTCATTATTTTTCTCCATATGTCTAAAAAAGAATTTTGCATTTGAATTTTCTCAATCAAATTTTATATTGTTTTGATCACGTTTGAAAAAAATGTATATATTCAGTTATAACTTAAATTTATCTTAGTTGGGTTTTTTGAAAAAATCTTAGTTGGGTTGTTCTCGTTACTTATTTGATAAAATAATATAGAATTCTGTAATATCACCTCTGGTTTCGTAGAACATTTGATACATTTTTAAAAATGTACTAATTTTTTATTCAATGCCAATTTTCAAAAGTGTGGAAGAAAAATATGATAATAATTATTTGATAGAATTACGTATTTTTTTTGAAAATTTTCAATTAATTATAGTATATTTTATTTTATTTTAAGACTTTATGATACAGTGTACTAATTAAAATAACTATTTGGTGTGTTTCTAAATACACAAACAAAAATTATAACAATATTATAAAATTTGTTAAATAAGTATTTCCCTAAAAAATAAGTATTAATTAGTATAATTTAATCCTCA